CACCCTCCCGGCACGCCTCGCCCCATCACGGCTCACCCCAGCACGCCTCCCCGAGCTCCCCCAGGCATGCATCGCCCAGGTCCCCACGTCACGGCCGCTGGGGTCCGCCACCTGACAGCCTAGAGGGCGACAGACCTTTCTACGATCGGGACTATGAGTACGAGCGGCACCATGAGCCGCCTGCCTACGAGCAGAGTCTATCACAGGGCAACCCCCACCCTCATTCACACCCGCATCCCCGATCGCCAAGGACTGCTCGTCAAGGGCCTCCCCTGCACCCACGCCGTATGCCTAACGGCTACCGTTCCTCCTCGCCCTCCCCGCACCGGCGCGGCCCCCACCCAGGCCCACACATTCACACCCGCAGCCCCGATCGCCAAGGACTGCTCTTCACGGGCCTCCCTCGCACCCACGCCGTATGCCTAACGGCTACCGTTCCTCCTCGCCCTCCCCGCACCGGCGCGGCCCCCACCCAGGCCCACACCGGCCACCCCATGGCCGTGGGCCCCGGAAGGGGTTGCACGAACAATATAGCGAGACGGACGAGGATGATTGGTGTTAGTGTGCAGGGTGACCAGCAGGGGGCGCCACTGGACTTAAACCAAGATGTTTATGCACCGCAGCAGGGAGAGAGGGGGGCAGAAGGGGAAACGCAAACAGGGCGAATGGGCCATTGTGAGACTCTGAACATTGGAGCAGCACATACAGCTCCCCTACTCCCTCTCTCTCTAATGCTTTCTCCTGCTCTCTGGACTACGTTTCCCATGCTGCTCAGCACGCAAAGGAATGGGAGCGTATGAGCGACAAATGGAGTGGTTGCGTTTAGATGGACTGAACTTTAAAGATCAGAGTCGTTGTGTTTAAATGCTCCACTCCAGACTGAGCAAGACCGATTTCTTCTTGCCCGATGGAAAAAATGAGGAGCAACATCCTCTGTCGATCAGAAAAAAAAAGGATTTTTGAAAATGAAGCCAGAACCCATTTTCCCCCTCACATCTATGCCTCTTAAAAAGACCCAAAAAATAAAAAGGGAAGGAAAAAATAGACATTGTTGAAGAAAAAGTAAGTGCTCTTGTGAACGAGAGCTCTACCTACTGCAAAACCAGCCCCATGTGCTGGCCAATATTGATGAGTTTTATCATCTGCGTTTACTGTTACCAACTCAAGATGCTGAGTGACCTCATCACCTGGGGGAGGGGTTTACCGTCAAAGATGCGTGGCATATGAAAGGACTCAGCGCAGGCGTGAGGAGGCGGGTGGGCGTGGCACACTGAAACCCCACCCACAAACTGCCACTCGGTCCTGACAAGGATAAGACAGCGGAAAAAGAACAAAATGGCAGATGAGGGAGGGACGGAAAGACTATTTCCTCTTCAGAATGTCTTCAATTGATTACTTCTTCTTTTTGAACATTTGGAGCTTGGTTATTCTGTTGCATTTGCTCAGCTTTCTTTGATATTTTTGGACTAAAATCTGATGGAAACTTGCATGATTGATTTAATATATATATATATATATATA